GTGCAGCTGCACAGCATTCACTCTACAGACCTGGGACTGGATCCTTCTACAGAGCATGTCTCTGAAGCCCAGTGACTGGATGGACATTAGGTGTGCATGGAGCATTGTAACTTGCAGCTGCAAGAAGAATGGGGTTACGTGCATCTTGGCCTGTAAAGGCATCACATGCAGAAACTGCAGTCATGATGTTGTTGAGTCTGAAGAAAACATAGACAATGACTCTTGAAGCTTCTGACACTGTGAATGAGAAATAACTCTGAGTGTTATATAAGTATGTTAAATAAAAGCTACTGTGCAATATAAATGTAAAAGTTATTGTGGCCTTTTTCAACAAAGAAGTGTTTGTGGTGAAATATAAATGCTAACAATCAACTCAAAATCATGAAAAAACCCTGATTTGACCCCTCATAAGTTACTTAAGGCTGGATTTTTAAAAATCGATTTTTCGTCAATCGGCTATCGGTATCCTAACTTGAGCAGGTTTTTTTTTAAAGGTTTCCCACGGGAGTTGAACTTCAACATTTTAAGGCATGTTGTTACACACCTTTACAAACATATTGGTGAAGAAATTGTTTGGTAACGTTTTAGTTGCCAGATTTGCAAAAAATCTCATAAAATGCCCTTACTATTAGAAGTGTGATATTTATTGTTCTTAGGGATGTAGGTCTTTTTAAATGCTTGAAATGTCTGAAAGAAAATTTACCCTAAGATGTTTAGACACTGTTATAAATATATTCAGTGTACATTGATCATATCTATAGTCCTATTCAGGCTGACTGTCTAAACTAGGGCTGCAACTAACACCTATGGTCATTATTATTTAATCTGTTTTATTTTCTAGATACATATTTGGCCTGGGGCTGCAGGGTGGCGCAGTTGGTAGCACTGTTGCCTCGCAGCAAGAAGGTTGCCGGTTCGCATCCCGGTGGGGGCACCGGAATCTTTCCGCGTGAAGTTTGCATGTTCTCCCTGTGCAGCGTGGGTTCTCTCCGGGTTCTCCGGCTTCCTCCCACA